TCTAAATTGATGACCTGTGGGGGCTTTTAAAGTGTCTTTTATTGACTTTTTGGGGTACTGCAGTTTTTCGCCGTTTCACGGTCGCACGCAATCTGTAAACTGGGCATGTTGGGTATCGTTTTACTCGTTGTAACCTCATCTTTTATATTTCATTAAAAAAATTGGTAATTTGTTGTGTTTTGGGGCATTTAATTAAATTTGTCACTAAATTTTGGGGTTTAATAAGGAGTTGCGCTAATATTGCGCAACTTAAAAATTTTCAACTACCACCATTTTATTCTATAGGGTCTTGGCATTCAGAAAATATATAATGTTGCGGGGGTTTTACGTCATTTTCAGGCCTAAAATGTGGAATATAACATGGGTGCAAAAATTGAAAAAAGGGCCTCAGTCATGAAGGGGTTAATGCAAGATTATTTTTCAGTATTCAGCGCTGCGGTACTTTGACTGACATTTATTCCGTCATGCAACGCTGTCCTGAAATGAATTTTATACCATTTTTTGGGGACAGATAGAGCTTTCTTTTGGTGGTATTTAATCACCACTACGGGTTTTATTTTTTACTTTATTAAGGAAAAATTACCAAAATTAAGAAGAAAAAAAAAACTATTTCCCCTATATTAAATTATAAAACATTATTACCCAATTATTTGGTAAAATATAAAACGCGGGGTCACGTCAGGTAAAAAGACACCAAACATGTCAAGCCTTAAAATTGCGTGCGCGAAACCTAAAAGAAGTACAATGTCCAAAATTGGCCATAGGCGACACTTTAAAAGCTTTTACCGCTCATCAGTTTAGTGTTATCAGTGATTGATGGCCCTACAATTATTGCCCTCACTTCGACGTTCACGGCGATATGTGACATGTGTAGTGCAATTGTCCTTTTCGCGCACTGGCGCATCGAACACGTATGTACGTTTATATGTGCGTAAACGTTGGGGTGGGGGGGGACTTAAAAATGTATTTATTTTTTAGTTTTTTTTTTGTGACTATTATTTATTTTTTTAAACTTTTTTTTACAATTCTTGTTATTGCTATCACATAGGGGGATAACAATCTAATAATGACTGGTGTCCTTTACATCTGTATTGCAGGTGCAGATTACAGTATTATGTTTCTCTGCTTGTACTTCTATTATCTGATCAAGGACTAATTCATAGGTACCTTTAAAAAAAATAGTAATAGTATTATCATCCTTCATACGTGAAGTGCCAACATGACATGGTATGCAACACTGTACATTAAAGGAATAGAAAGTTACAGATGTGACACATGGGGGAAAAAAGAAAGCAGTGCCCTTGTGAGCTGACACTCTAAAAAGGCACGTTAGGCAATTATAAGCCCCGTGGGCCAGAAACAGCCTGCCACAAGACTTTCTTAGGCCTGCCAGTCCCGATTTGTGTTCAAACAGGGTTTTGTTTTTTTAACTAGCTAGCGCTTGGAGCGGCAATTCAGCCGGCCACCCTTTGAGGACCCTGCATCTCCATGTTTCTCCTCGGCACCTCCCTCCTAGGCCGCAGGTTTCCTCACACACAGGAATGTCATATAATGGATGACACTTGTAGTGCCCTCACACACAGGACACCAGGACAGTCATATCATCATTATATGACAATCCTGGTGTTCAGTGTAGGAGGGCAATAAAAGCGTCAGCAGTCCCCCATTTACAGTCTGCTGACATTTGTAAAGCCCTCATACACAGGACACCGGGACTGTCTTATAATGATTAGTGGGCCGGAGCTTTGTACCCCGGCAAGCAGCAGGGTTAACTTTTTCTTCTTCTTTATGCCCGGCCCCTGATTTAATCACAACCCTCGGCATGGCCCATAGTAAGTTTGGATTTGACACCCCTGATCTAAGGGCTTGTGTCAAGGGGCAACTGCAACTCCAGGGTGCTTTCAGGTACACCCAGCCTGCATCTAAGACACTTATGAGATTATTTTGAATTTAGTGACAGGTGCATTTGACCTACAATAATCTACTTCTGACTTGTGTTTGACTCTAAGTTGCATCAAGCTGGTTTTGCATTACGATTAACTTGCATAGTGAGAAAATAAGTTTTGAAATCAACAAAAGTTCCTGTCCACAAGTCATAATAGTACAGGAATACACTTTGCCACCGACCTGACTCCATGAATGTAGTGGAATCAAATGACATCATATGATCACCAACTTGGAAATTGGCCTGTTTTAGGTCTGATTGCATCTCATAGTTGCCTATAGAATCCTCTTCTTCCTCTGAGTCAGATTTGCGTAGCCTGGAAGAAACACAAAACACTTAAATATATAAAGATCGCAAGATCAACAAATGTAAAATCTACGCTTTTATCATCAGCAGAGTTGACACCTTGTAAGAAATTCGAACCTTTATTCACTCAAAAAAATCAAGCACTGTGATGCATTCTAACAACGCACAGCCGCTTACTTGCATGTTGTACACCATTCATTTATTATTAATTTTATTTTCTTATTTTTTTTTACTGTTGGGGTGGCTTTGGGGAAATATCAGGGGTCTAAATAGATCTATGACATTTCCTTTTTCAAATAGAAAAAGAAATTGAGGACACAGAGTACTCAATCTCTTTTTCTGAAGCCTCAGCACTCAATGAATAGAAAGCACTCAGTACAGAGGCTTCCCATTCAAAACATTTACTATCATCCAGTTATGAATGGGTAGAAGCCTCTATACTTAGCCTTCCACCCATTGAGAAACTCATGAATGAACATGAAGTGATGTAAAGCATAGTACTATGTGTCCCCAGTTATTTACAAACACTGGACTGATCAGCTGATAATATCAGATATTTACCGATCCTCCACTCGGCCATCTGACCCGTTCAGCCACAGAACAGGCGGTGATCCTGGATTTGACAGCAAGCTACTCTGATCTCCTCCTGACATGCAGAACTCTCTCCTCTGCCGGCCATTTCTCCTTGGATTCCCCACTGCCTCAGCCCATACAGGCAAGGGAGAGCAGTGGGGATCAGAAGAGAAATAGATCCCAGCATGGAGCAGCCCCAGGCAGGAAGGACAGGCTGCAGATTGCGGCGGCCGGCAGCGGCGGTGACAGCTATTATTTTACAGGTGACTGTGGGGTGAACTGTTCTGGTACAAGTTCATGGTGATTAAAGCAACCAAGAGCTTATAGCTAGGGATGCACCAATACCAAGTTCCGTACTCGGTACAAGTACAGATACGTTTCAAGCTCCAGGACTAGACTAAACAAAATTCAAAAGTTAGGAGGCAGCTGTCATTTGTAAGGAGCACACAGAGCTCCTGGGATTTGTACATCTCTGTTTTAATGTACGATTTTGTTTTTATAAATATAAATAAGGGATGCACCATTTTTGTAAGTACAAGTACTGATACATTTTTGTTAATTGTCATGTGACAGTTTATCTAAAACAATACAGACTAATGATTCCAGGACAGTGGTGGAGCGCCAGAGCCAGGTCCCAGCTGCAACCGCGGTAGTTCTCATGAAAATGCCAAGTATCGGCACTGGTATCTGAAAAGTATCGGTGCATCCCTACTTATAGCAGAACAGTAAATGTCTCCAACATAAGGGCTCACTGAGCGGGCCAGCTGCAAGCGGTTGTGTTCCGCCTTAAGTCTTGTATAGCAGCGAAAGGGTTAAACATCAAGGAGCAGCATCCATTGTAAGAGATTTATTCAGCATTTTAAATGGCTTTAAAAACCCTTTGACTTTAATACCACTTTAAGACATTAGAAAGGATTGGCTACTTCTATAGGTAAAAGTAAAAAAAAAAACAAAAAAAAATCACCTTTGAGCTGAAGAAGAAATATTACTTACAACAGGCACTGATTCTGCACTAATTTCCAAGGCTTAAGGATGTTTGATCTGACTAACATGCATATTAGCTATATAAAAAAAGGTGCAAATGTGGGTGTGCACCCTCATAAAAAACAGGGATGGTCCAAAAATTTTACACACTGTTATGCAATTTGCCTAGTCTAGGCTTCTTGCACATGGGTGCATGAGGCCATCTATCGTAACTACTGGGCACATTTCCATGTATGGGATACACAGCTACGGTGTACAGCTGTCCATAGTAATGACTACCATGCATGCATATGGATTTACCCCTGCGCGGGTTTACGCAAGTAGCTGCATTAACTATTTCTGGCACATGACCAATGTACTATATAATTCAGACTACAGTAATACCTGGAAGGTAAGAATTTTATTAACAATTCTTGAAAATCGATTCTCTCCTCCTTTTTGCATCTGGTGTTACGGACACGGGCAGAGCGTCTCTTAGCTGTTTCTCCAGCATCCTCTGACACTCTCTTCCTCTTCACACCTTTCTTGCTCTTGTCACTTGCTGACTGATCTAATTTAATGCAAACATTTAAAAAAAATAAAAAAGGTTACTTTGAACACTTTTAAGACACAGCTAATGGAGATCCTTTCTCACCTAGAGTAGTAGTGAATAGTAATATTTACTGCTACATGCTGTGCATGCCTAGCCTAAGGTGAACAGGCCAATTTAATACAGCTCCACTGCATCCTATATATCATTAACAGTTCACCAATTGACCTGTCCCAGGAGCTGCTATTTAAATCCCTCCTGTAATATAGACTAAGAGGCCAGATTATTATGACCACCCCATCAGTACTTCGTTGGGCCACGAGATGACTTTGTTGGGCCGCCTCGTGACTCCACGAGATGTTGAAAGGTGATGCGAGGAATCTGACACTGCACTGTTTCCCTTCTGTTGCCTTGTACCAGTCTTGCCACTCTCCGTTCTGCCCTAACATTGACTAGTCGCTGACGGACACAATTCGCACATTCAGATTTTCGGCTGACAGTCCAGTCTTTAAACACTTTAACAACAGCTGCTCTTGGACCTTTTAACGAATTCTGCTGTTTTGCTGATACTCGCTCCATGGCTCCGAGCGCCAACAATCATCCCACGTTCAAAGGCTGTTAAATCGCGTTGTTTACCCATATCTTCAAAAAAAATCACTTCTACTGTCGTGGTAAACAACCTGCTTCCCTATTTATAATGGTCTGGCCCTCTAGCAACTTCAGCGCAAAATTATAGCTAATTTGCCTACAAACGTCAGGTGGTCATAATAATCTGGCCACTCAGTGTATACCATCCCATGCCAAGACAAATCTTTACATATTCTGTACTGCATAAATATTTGCTAAATACTTAAGCTCAAGTTGTTGCTTTAGGGTTTCCTCCATTTCAAACTAGAAAAAGTCTGAAAGTCATGGAATAATTAGGCAGGATGTCAACTGGGAAGCAAAATATTTCAGAAAGAAAATCTTTATTTTGCAAACACCAATACATCGATTAGATTGCAGAATCTTGTGAGCAGAGCCCTACCTTTTTTTTGTTTTAATGAAGGTAGTGTATTTGCCCCGTGAGGCTACAAGCTTACTGGCTTGTCCTAGATCTCTGTGAAATCTGCCGATTCTTTTCCAATAAAACATAACAGTCTCTCTCTCTCTCTCTCTCTCTCTCTCTCTCATAATAATAATATCTCTCTCTCTCTCTCATAATAATAATATCTAATATATCTAATATATAAGACCCCATAATTAAAGAAATATTCCCTCAGCCCCCAATACTGGCTTTCAAGCAACCGCTGAACCTGAGAAGAAGATTGGTACGCAGTAAGCTGACCCCAGAACAGGCACTTACCCAGAATGGCAGAGTACAATGCAATAAACCCCGCTGCAAACTTTGACAACATATATGTGACAGAAATACAGCGAGTCACAATAACAAAGCGTACACCATTAAGGTGTCATACTCATGCACATCTGCTAATGTGGTGTTCATGATACAGTGTTCAGCATGTGACAACAGTTGTTACATTGGGGAAACTGGCCTTAAGCTGCATCTCAGGATGAGCCTACACAGGAGTTCCATCAAGAACCACTAAGAGAATTAATATTGCACTCCAGTGGGACATCACTTCTCCCAGAAGGATCACTCAAAAATAAAGTACTAAAAGGGAATTTTAAAAACTCTCATGAAAAGGAAAACATTTGAGTTGAAAATTATTTTACATTTCAACGCCATAAATGAGGGACTTAATGTGGATTCTGATTTTCCGACACACTACCAGAACTTTCTATGAATCTACAGAACATCACAATATTCATGTATGTCGTATATCTCTGATCTGTTTAGGGTTTATTATGTCATCCTATGTTTATTTGTTCCGTCTTTTGATTATCAGGAGGCAGTCTTTACCTTGTGCATTGCAGGGATCATTGATATTCTGAGGAGGCAGGGAAGGAGTAGTAGAGAAAAGTGAAGAAACTGGTTCTGGTACTGTAATAGTTGGTGTTGTAGGAGTCGAGATGCTGGGTGCATCTGTGGATTTGCTTATTGGAGATGAGGTCTGGAGAACAGGAGGAGGTTGCAGTGCATCTTTGTAGTCTGAAAGGTCAACCTTTTTTCCTAAACTAGGACGAGGAGGTTTACAGGTTGTTAGGTGACGATACATAGCCAGAAGGCTTTCACCAAGACACTTCCACCTAGAAACAAAAAAAGAGAGATGTTAGCCCAATTGGTATCCGGTTACAAATTCTACTTTATACGGACACCTACAGTAATTTAATCACACTTACGTATAAAATGGGATTGGTTGCACCAGCTTTAAATCAGGCTCCTGCTTCCTCACATTTAAAGCCTGTCTCTTCCTGCGCAATTCTAATGCTTCCTCAACAATTTTGTTTGACTCTTCCTCACTGACATTCACGTCATGAATAGAAATGTCACTGCACAGTAAATACAGAAAATACATTTTATGACTCACAAACTCCTGATAAGTCAAAGGGTTACACACATACTGTCCATCAGTATCATTCAGAATGTATAGAATGGGAGTGAATGGGTTTTTTTTTCTCGGTATTGAATCAGAAACATAATAAAACTTTATCATAACATTACAACAAAGTAAACAGATGCATCCAAAACATGCCTTAAGCTGGCCATACCCCAGCAGAATTTCAGTTGCATAAATTAGATTGTGGAACATTCATTCAATTTTCTAATAGTTAAAAATAGTTCTAAATGTTAAAACGACAATCATTGTTGACTGTAGTGACCAAAAAAAACAACGGAGGAGCAGGATAGAAACATTTTCTCAAAATAATTAAATTCTAGCAGTGAATATGGTCTTTGTTCTGGAAATTCATTTCATTCCAAAGCAGAATGTTAAAATTTAATGAAATTTCGAACGACATTGATCAAGTCTCTGATGGAATCATCGAATGTTCTGATGAGATTTTTCATATGAACGGTTTGCACATAAATCTACCAGTGTGCAGCTCCCATTCCCTTTGTCAACATCAGTCACAAGTTACAGTCACACAGTTACAATACACAAGTATCACTTAATGTCAACTAAAGAAAATCCCATATACATATATTTATACATCTTCTGGTGAGTGTAATGCAACACCAGATAGCAAACAGATTTTGCCAATTTTTTACCTAGACAGTCTCTGTTCATGCACAATAATTTTATGGAGCCATAGATCACTAGGTCCATTTCCTGAAAATCTCTTCCCTGGCATAGTACAGGAATCTAAACTTGTATCCTGTTTTTAGTGTGTGTTATTCCAACTTCTTTGAAGTGACCAAAGGGTGCCATTGTTTACCCAATTCTAAACATGCAGGTTCTGGGGTTTTCAGCCTGCACTTGGCTCGCTCATTCAGCATGCTGATTCCAGGTAAGTGGCTAATTAGACAGTGAACCCAGGTTCGCAGTGACCTACCTGGGACTCGCACCTTAGAGACAGAAATGGCAACTCCCATTATTCTCTTCTCACAGGTTCCATTTAAATTAACCATGTGCTGACATATAGATAGTACAGGTGCCAGCATATACCTTAAAAGAGAACTAAAGCCTAATTTTTTTTTGGCTTTAGTCCTCTTTTGGGTCAAATAAATACATTTATTAATGTACAGTACTCCTGTGACCACTACTGCTACTGCCCCCTATATGCTTACAGTACAGAGCAGCGCGGCAGCCAGGAAAGATCCCGACAATATTGCATCACACGCCGGCTCTAAATATTGGGAAGAATACATTTTACTCTCCCAAAACATCTCTTTTAAAGACTATCTCTGGGGAAAAAAACAAAACTCCCTTTGCGGAAATCAGATTTAAATCTCAGCAGCCCCCTAAACCAAGCAAAATTAAACTCTGGCCACTCCTTACTCACCTCACTATTGGTAGCTAAATGTGATCCAACAGACTAGTGATGTCCCGATACCAATACTAGTATTGATATCGGGGCCGATACCCGGCATCTCCGCGAGTACTTGCACTTGTGAAAATGCCCCGATTCTTAAGGCCGATACCGGCTCTTTAAAGTTTTAAACAGCAGCGGCTGTCCGAGTTTCCACGCTTGTGGGGACCTCGGCAGCCTGCTGGGGACCTTCAGGTAGCTGTCCATGGCAGTGCCTGTGCGGTTCTATAGCCCCTCCTCATGCTTCCTGGCGCAGGCACAGCCATGGACAGCCCCACACTGTGCAGCAGGGGTTCCCAACCACCACCAGTCACCAACTTGTCCGCGGTCTCCTGGGCAGTCCAGCTCCCAATTCGGGGCCAGAGATGAGAAGAGCGGGGCAGTGCAGCCATGTCAGAGCAGAAAGTGGGGTAGCATGGCCGTATCCCCAAGAGAGCAGGGCAGCGCGGCTCTCTGTCAGTGCAGAGAGAGGAGCAGCATGGCCATGTCAGTGAGGAGACAGCGTGCCTCATGGGGAGTGATGCCCAATGGATGAACTGACAGCTCTGCACCAAGCCATGTTACAAGGTAATGACCCCGAGTGTGTGCAGCCCTCTGTTACATGTCCTCCCTTCATTTTACACCCAGAGCAGCCTGGACTCCCCCTATCTGCCCTGTGTTATTGTATCTGCACCACACTAATCACTACCACCCTCTCCCTGCCACCCCACCACCCCTAAAACCAACCCACCACACACCCCCTCCCTGCCAACCCATCACATCTGTATTGTGCTCTGGGGGACATCTGTATTGTGCTCTGGTGTGAAACTGCCCTAAAATCATCAGGCTGAGTTGTTTTAGCAAAAATGTGACATGTCCCTTTAAGAAAAAGTATTGGTAATTGGTATCGGCAAGTACTTGTACTTGGTCCTGAAAAAGTGGCATTGGGACATCTCTACCACAGACCAATATCACAAAGACCAGAGCTCAACTTTAGAGAGGAGATGTAAAGTGTATAACTGAGCATCCCAGGTCTGGGGGTTCCTGAGGCATACAGGATAAAATCTGCCTAAACATCTGCCCCCTTTCTCATACCTATGGGTACCTTTACACCAACAACAAACATCACCTTCATACAATAAACCATCTCTATATTTAAGGCAAGTATCTAAGCACACTAGAGAAACACATTTTGAAAAAAATCCCTTAAGCAATATTCATCTTTATATATTAAAGCTGTTAAAACCACCAAAACAAACCCCAAACATTTAAATGGATACAACATAAAAGGGAGTTCATAGATAAAACGGTTAGTCCTATTCAGGTCCACTGCGTAGGTTGTCAATAGTAACAAAGAATCAGGAAGTGCCAGTACCATATTTTACAGATAAATTAATTATGCTCACCATTTCATAAACATACGGAAAGAATCTTTCCTAAGACCTGGCTGCTCCTCAAAAATCTTCTCCTTAAGTACCAGGCCTTGGCTGTAGCGACAGTCTCTCTCCAGAGCCTTACAGATGAAGTACAGACAATCTGTGCACAAGACAAAAACACACCATTGCTGGGTTTTCATGCAAATCAATACATCTATCCATAAAAACAATTTGCAGAGCTATTTGTCCAGTGAAACTGCATGAACACTCGCTCTGTGCAAATTAACCAGCTGTTATGAGAATAGGGCAAAATCGAATGTTCTTAGGGTGCTTTCTCTTCTGATCAAATGTTCTTAGGCTGTTGCTATATTCCCTTCTGTGTAATAGAGAACAGCACTCACCAGTAATATGTGTAAAAGGAAACAATGTTGTAACTATTGTGTAATAATGAGCAAAGGCTTTAAGAACTCCAGGAAAAGGTTTTCTTAACCCTTGCAGTGAGGCTACCCCACACTGCAAGGGTTAAATGCTCTTCTTTTTTTTTTTTGTCTAAGTGCTAAAATAACAAATATATATCACCCAAAGCTCCTAGCCAACCAGCTGTCACAGCACTCCCTCTTGCCTGTCCCCTCCTGTGCTGCAGCATGAAAGTTTCCTCGGCATCCTCACATCTATACACAGTGTATAGAAAGTGATGATTTACAGGACCTTAGACCGCTGCAGCAGAGGAGAGTTTCTAGGGACCGGTCTAAGAGCAAAACAGCTCAGACCATCGGGTGATTATAACTTTTTTTGGTTAACCTCACCAAAAATGAGCAGTTAACCCTTGCAGGGTGCAGGTAGCCAAACTGTGAGGATTAATAACATTTTTCCTGGAGTTCTTCTTAAAAGAAAAACTGCAGGGTTACAAACTGTTAAGTGTAATGAGGTGTATGCCACCTTCTGGTTCGCTGGCTATTATTTACAATGGACACCTTTACTGATGCCTGGAAGTAGAGCCATCACTATACCCTAGGGCTGACTTTTGAGAGGACTGATTACTTTAATGGCTGTATTGTCTAACGAGAGAGAGAAAGAGAGAGAAAGAGAGAGAGACTTATTCCCCTTTCCTGCACACAACCACTTATTCCCCTTTCCTGCCATGTGTTGTTAACATTGTACTGACCTTTGTATGTCTGCAAACTAAGTCTTCGTCCATTTATTGGTCTGGGCAATACTTACTACTATAATCACTGATTGTATACAGGACCAAGACCAGGTTATCCAGACATGGCCAGTGATCAGGATTACACTGGAGTCCTTCTTCAAATGCATGTCGGGCCAGTGGAATGCGTACAAGGCGAAGTGCTAGTTGACCAATCTTGTACCATAAGTTAACGTCAGTAGAGTCCAGCATAACAGCCTGCAAAAATAAATAAATAAAGACAAAAGAGAAGAAAAGAAAAAAAAAAGTCAGACAAAAATTGAACTGCTTAATTTAAATCCATAATTCTGATCACTCACTGAGAGTCACACAGAAGACCGATCTGGGCAAAAATGTAAAACATTACCACCCAAGAGGTTGACCAATATTGTGGATCTTCTTCTTAGCCAGACTAAGGAATGATTTGGTTGACAGAGTAACATAATAAGGCTGATATAATAAAGAAGTTGAGAATCCTTATTGAATAAAATTGTGTGAGGCCCCCTGTTCACACTTTTGCAGATACAGCATGCTTCCGCTTAATGCTTCGGCTCCTTTGTGAATAACCCTCTTAGTATTCAAAAAGCTTCTGCACATGATTGGGTGTTCAAGGTGATCGGGAATTTGCGTTTCGTGTTATTGGATAAATTAAGTAAATATTCACACATTTTTGTCAGTGAAGATTCTCACCTTCTTTAGGAAATCAGCCTCAATGAATGCACACACAGAGAAAAATGATAAAAACACATGAAAATTGCTGTCATTCAGTTTACATATTGGGGCAGACTAGATAACCTAGTATAAAACATACCTCTAGGACCATGGTCAAAAACGTTATACAGCAGCCTACTAAAAACTAAATATTGGGGAGGTAAATAACATATTGATTTCTTATGTCCCTAGGAGACCTCGACAGTCAGATCTCTAATTACACTCCCAGTGCTGCACAATTATCATGACCCTTACAAGAAGGGGTGGGGAATCCACCATTATTGTTGTAATTTACATTATATTATTACACTGCCATAGGAAAACTTGGACCTCCTTAAAGCGACAATAAACCTTCAGGTTTTTTTTTATCTTTTAATTAATGGTGGCCAGACTTACTATAAAAATATGTTTCTTTATTGTTTAGTGTTTTTAATGTCCTCGTATCCAGACTGTTAGGCTCCTCCCCCCATCCCCGTATAGCTGCCTTCATAAGCTAGCTGATTGCTATGGATGCACCCGGACGGTCACGGCTGTGCCCGCTCCTAGATGTGAGAGTCCATTGAGACACACACAGCGTGCAGCCGGCCACGCCCCCACCATGCAGTCACAGCTTGACTGACGGCAAAAGGAGCCTATGGCGACTCTACCCTCAGTACACTTCTCCGCATCCAGAAAGTTTGGGGAAGCCCGAGTATCTTCCTGGTCGTGGCAGAGGAGACAAGTGACTGCCGGTAAGTGTGTGTGTGCGTGTGTGGGG